CAATTCTCCTCCTTTCTGGAAGCCCCTCCCTGCATATGTACCCACCCTCCCTGCCCTGCCCAGGACCACCTCTCCCCGCTGAACTCTCTCTCCCAGTAGACACCCCAGTCCTCTCCAGGGCCCAGCACCACCTCTGCAGGCAGCAAACAGACTTCTCCACCAGGGCTTCTCATCCTCACCTCTTTCTAGCAACTTCCTACAGGCCTCTCCCAGCCCACCTGTACCCCATGAGTCCCATGCTGACCCTCGGGCGTCATGATGGTGACTTGGGCCCCAGCCTTCTGCAGTGTGTGCAGCCCAGTTCCATACATGCCCCTGGTATAGATGCAGGAGGCGGAGATGCGCAGCTGCACGTGGGAGTTCTCTCTCAGGAATGCAGCCAGATTCTCGGCACAGTCATGACAGGGGCTCCATGAGATGTAACAAGTGATCCTGTACTGCAGACTCTCGTTCAGCGTCCACGATGGGATCTGGTCCAGGAGGCACAATTCTGCATGACGCCCGGGGTCCACATTGTTAGCAGGGAGGAATTGATTTATCTTTGGCTGTGAACAGAGGGAAGGGTGGACCAGGGTGGACCTCAGGGCACTGGCCTCCAGCACAAAATTGAAGTGGGAAGGGCACAGCTCAGCATCAGGAAGAACGATATTTCAATGCAGAATTTGGATGATCAAACATAAGGCAAAACTCATGATGAAAACAATGTCAGCATTTCACAAAGGGCCAGTAGTGATGAGGCTTTCATTTATATCTGCAAATTATGGCTCCTCGTGGCACTGTAACTGATCAGTTTTCTTTAAATATGTTGATATTTCGTTCATCATAGAATTTGCATTAATTCTGACTTTAACTGTGGCATTAATTACGACTCATCTTGATTCCTGAGTGTCTGGAGTTTGAGGACTAAGTTTGTGCTGGAGCTCTGTGTCTTCAGGGGCATCACCTAGTCGGCCCTACAGGGAGGGGTGAAGAACTGAGGCTGGAGGGAGGAGGCAGGTGAGCCCCAAGGTCCTGGGCCTGATGCCAGGGAAGTGGGGGCTTCCTCCAGGGAGGGTTAACCCCGCTCTCCATCTACTGGCCTCCGCCTCCGACACCCACCTGTGCACGGAAGTTCTGCAAGCTTGCACCCTGGGCCTTACCCTGTGCTGAGCACAAGGGTGATATGAGTCTGCCAAAGGGCTCACTGTGCAGGGAGAAATGGGTTGAGGGGCGCCAAGGGAGTGGTGCCTGGGAAATGGGGTGAATGTCCTTGTTGGGGCTCATAGGATTGTAGAGATTTACCCAACCTGCAGAAGGTGCGATTTGCAACCAGGGACCCAGGGAAGAGGAACAAGTAGGCTGGCTGTGCCAGTGCAGAGCGCACCCCCACACACACCTCCCGGCACCCCTGACTCCAGGCAGAACCTCAGCAGCTGCCAGGACCAAAGGTGAGAGAGCTTTCTGGGATACCCCATGTGCCCTGCGAAGCTTCTCCCAGATATCCCAGGATTTGGAGGTCCTGCCTGCTGTGTTCGGTCACCTCGTTGCGCAGAAAGCCCTTCAACTCCTCCACTGTGATCCAGGAGTCTCCCTCCAGACGCTCTACCTCGTAGCACAGGTAGGTTTCATGTGGCCAGCGGTCTTGATGGAAGTTTTCACGGAAGATTTCTTTATCCATCAGGGGTCTGTGGACACAGGCAGGAAGAACCCAAAGACATGGCTCCCCCTGAACCACTGTGTGTTCCTACCCTCCAGCCCACACCTCTTCCGCTCCACCCTGAGCTTCCCATGCACCCCACATCCCAGCTACACACATAGAGGATAAGCNAACCATCGCGCCACTCGGCCGGCCCCCCAAACTCTTTTGATTACAGCAGCTGCATAGCTTTTCTACAATAGTTTCTAGTGTGTTGCAAAGACTGCTTCCCTTTTGCATTTCTTCTTCATGACTTCACTTTCAATCACGTTTAGTCTGCCCTTTGGACTTAAATCGCCCTTTTTTTTCCTCATTAAAAAAAAAAGCTAAGAACAACAATGATGATTCCGTTTGTATTTGACTTGCATTTCCATCTGTGAATTCATTTGGGATATTATACTTTATTGTCCTTCTGTAAAAGTTGTTCCTCGTTGGAAATATAGGCTTTGTGGCTTTCTTTTTTCTTTAAGGTTTTTATTGGGGTATAACTTACAATTAGGTGCAAAGTCTTAGGTTTCCAGGTAGTGTAAAACCACCCAGACTGAAGTGGGGCTATTTCCAGAATCCCAGATGGGAAGCCCCTCCTGTCCCCGCCCAGCTCCTCCCCTTTGCGAGGGAACCCATGTTAGCACTTCTGTTCTCATAGATTGATTTAGCCTGGATTTGAACTTCATCTACATGGAATCAGACAGTATGAATCCTTTGACTTCTTTCATTCAATATTGTATTGTGGAGTTGAGCTAATGTTCCCTGGAAGCTATGCTGCTGTGAGAAAAGAGAAAAAGGCCTCCAATAAACTGTCCGTCTTCAGTCCGTCGTCCACCCACCAGGGCAGCTGTCACGGGCTAGCACACCGCCCCTCCCCAGATCTGCACATGGCTGACAGGTCCTCACCAAACCCTTGTTTCAGGTTTCATTTGAGGGTCACCTACATGCTTCTCCAAACAATACTGTGAAATTCAAATTTGCTCTGAGCTCTAAAATTAGTGTTTGTGTCGAGTATATAACGACAGGGGAAAATACCCAGGCTTACTGTTAAATTATATGTATTTTATGTTTATTATGACTATAGTTTTTACGGAACCCTTATAAATATTAGCAGTGATAAGGTCAGTGGGTTGGATACTTACCTGACCTGGCACATTTTCTGCAATGATGAAAAAGTAAGTTGAAAATCACAGTTTTATTAGCTACACTTACTGGGAGTGAATTTGTGATGCCATCTCGTCCCACTGTCGATGACACCAGGTCCCAGGACTCACGCTGGCAACGTGGCCTACAGTGTTCACAAAGAAACAGAGCACAGCAATGCCACCAATTAAATGACATCCCGCATGTACTATTTTGAATGACTAGAACTCTCAAGCTAGGGCGCGGATGAGTGGAGGAATGAATGGAGGTGACCAACAATGTCTGCCCAGCTGGGCTCAGCTGGCCAGCGCTCTGCAGGCTTCCATCCCTTCTCCGTCCAATCCTTTTGCAGCCCCCTTTCCCGCCCCTGCCACATGGACCAGCCTCATTCCCTCTCCCTTGGAGAGGTGGGAAAATGACCTTAAAGTCTGTGTGCAAATGCTTTGCCTGTCTGTCCTTCCAGCTGAGGACCCTCAGTCCAGCTCTGTCCCCAGTGCAGCTCAGGGTCGCCAATGAAACATTAGTAGCAACAGTGAATGAGTGGGTTCCCACCAGTCACACTACACAGAAGTAACTACAATTATCCATTGAAAGGATGTATAGGCTCAGAGCTCCTGGGGTTCGTCCCATCCTCTTTCTCCTGCTCCCTTGGAAGGAGGCACATGTCTCGATGGGCAGCTGCTCCGGAGTCCTGAGGAGACCAACAGGAAAAGACAAACATTGAGAGCTGAGCTGGGGTAGGAGGGACAGCACACAGCGTCCTAACACACTGGGCCTGTGACACTGAGCAGAGGTGGGAAGCTGGTGCCACCAAGCGCAGTTCCCACGTTCTTCAGCAACAGCCTGACTTTCAGCCCCTCCAGGCAGCTTCCTGTCACTGGCAGCCACAGACCCCTGCCAGGTCCCCTCTATCCCAGCGTCCTGTCCTTAGGCTCCTTTTTGCCCCTTGTCCTCCCCCCTTTGCCCCTCCTCTCCCTGCCCCTCCCCTCTCCTTTGCTTCCATCTCTCCAGGTGACTTTGTCTCTCAGCTCTTCCCTTCAGGCTGCAGGCCCTCCCTGACTTAGTCCTTCCTCCCTCCTTGGCCATGGTCATCATCTAGCCTTACTCTCTCCCCTCCAATGTCTCAAACGAAATGATTCCTCCCTAGTCTCTGCAGTCATTGTGTGAGGCCTGACACAGGTCGGGCCCTGACATGTGAGCAGAAGTCTGTGAGGAGGGACCTGGAGGCTTTGCTGCCCGGAACGNTTTAGCTGACCCATCCTGCCACCTGTTGGAAGCTCAGCTTGGGCCAGGAATCAAACCGGCGACACTGTTGCTCAGCTCACACTCTTGAGTGAGCTCTTAACCAACTGAGTCACTCAGCCAGCCCTTACGATTTACTTTTCTAGGAAGAGAATGGAGGGAGATGTGACTCAGGGAGAGATTTTTTTTTTTAACATTGAGAAATAGAGCAATGGAAGAGGATCTTTTATTCGCAACACTCAGCAAAAATACAGAGTATATTTATTAATTTATTTTCCCATAAAGAGAATATACTTTGTATTTAGAGAAATAAAAAGATTAGTTGTCAGGGCTTGCTTTTAGAGCATGATCAATAAGCTCCTTATCAATGGTTGGATACTGATACCAGGGACCATCGCCTCTCGCACGCATTAATCTTCGTACATCCTGCTCCTTTAACCGCAATTCAGCCTTTTCAGCTTCAATTTGAAGGATAGCCATTGTTTTTTCATAATTCTTTTCAGGACTATCATAGAAAGTTCGGGCAATCCATCTTGATATAGGATGCTTGAAATATTCCCAGTGTTCTGGGACATAGCCTTCTGGGATTTCTGCTAACTCAGCTTCACCAATGAATATATTCACCAGAGTTATGCCAATTACTACTGGAACCCCAGTCAACAAAATGTAGAATTTCAGTAAACTCAGAAAACGCTTGTCATAGAATCCAGAAGGTTTGATGATAAACAGTCTTTTTCCATGGTCTCCACTGTGTCGCACAGGAGCGATAGTCTTCGGAACGCCTCGCGTGAGGAAGTCCCCGAAACCAAGCCGAGTGCCAAGGCGGCGGCCACACAGTGCGGCCACCGCAGTGACCGAAGCCAGCTGCAGTAAACTCATGGACGCCATGGCTACTGCCGAGATTTTTTTTTATAAGTAAGAGATGCATATCTGAACAGATGGTTTGTTGATGGCAATGATGAAGCAGTGATCCAGACAGTGTGGAAAATGACAGAAGAGAAACCCATGAAAAGAGAGAGGGCCTGAGCCCCAGAGCATAGATGGAAAGTTGGACTCTGAATGGGCAGACAGACTACGGGACGCCATGGAGTCAGGAATGTTGTCTTTTTTGTTTAATGTATATCCAGCCCTTAGAATAGCACCCGGCACGTAGGCGCTCCATAAAATGTGTGTTGAATGAATGTAGGCGGGTTTCTAGATGTAGATATGAAATTGAGGGGGTCCTCTCTGTTTCTATTGGCTCATGGAAGGCTGAGGTGGGGTCATTAGCTGAGGGCTGGGGACAGGATGTGCTGGGGGCTGAGAGAGAGTCAAAGC